CGAACTCATAATCTAATTGTTATCTCAGTGAGAAACGGTATAGAACTTGTTTTGTCTTATTGAACGTTCTAGGATCCGGCAGTCGAGAAAATACAAACTGCTAGCAGCCTGACGTAAATTAAAATCCCTTCCAAATCCAATAGGCCCATTGAAAATGGTAGCTTACGCCGGGCCCAGTTTTCTTGAAGTATAGAGTACTCTAAGAGATCTTACTCGTAGGCTACAAAATGATTTTTCAATAACAAAGAAGCCCAGGGCTCATTAGAATTTTGTGGTATATTGGCAGTAACGGTTTATGTTGTTTTTCTCTCTTGATTTGCAGGTAAAAAAGACTTCTTGATGGTAGCTGATGTTTTAAATGTGAAGGTGATTGAAGTGAAAGACCAAGTCAATCTATTTGAGAGATTTATTCCGAGGATCTACAATTCGCGTGTTAGTGCGAAGATTCGGCTTTGTGTGTGTCATAAGTAAGTTATACAAATGAGATGAACCTGCGGAAATTTGCGTTAAATTTTGTCACGACCGAGCGTGTTACACTCTAATACCCTATTCACAACAATTAAACTAGTTTAACTAAATCAGGTTTAAGTTTCTCCAATCTGATCTAGTTGTAGTCATTTTGAGAAAACAAAATTTCAAAACGCCTTGCTGACATTTTTTGTCCAGACAGGTTTCACCATCTTTATTCACTTAGCAGGTTTTTAGCTTGTTTTTAAAAGTTGTGAAATGTGTACGGTACGAGCAACTAATTTTTAACCTTGTTTAGTTCATGTTTAACTTGTTGGTATGAACGGGGTATAAGAAACAAGTTGACTTAACGCGGCTGGCAACAGTTTCCAGGACTTCAGTTATATTTCGACGATCAATGCTACCTAGTAGTAAAGGACGCTCTTAGGGGCCGTAACCAATCAGCGTGCACGGATTATACCACGTGACCAGAAATTTCCCATACATTCTCTTAAAATTTCAAATCCAAGATGGCGCATTGAAAATGCGCATGCGCAGAAGCAGGGGTATGACGTCATCGCGCGCATGTCCAAATAAGGCGAGAGTCAATGCATGAAATCGAGGGCGTCACGTGCCTGGTCAAATAAGGCGCGAACCAATGAGAGATGGTTCGGGTGTGAATAAAAAGGTGGTGTGGGTGTAGAGTTGGTATTGTTGTTTCGAGATCGACAAGAAGATGGCCTCGGAGGAGAACAAGAAGACGCCGACGGTGGAGGTGGTGGAGATTCCGAGAGATCAATTTGCGGCGAGAGTGTTGAAGGCTGTGAAGGATAATCTTCTTGGAAAGATTTTGAAAGGCGCCGTTAGTGACAGTACGGATTACATCCTGAAGAAAGAAATGACGAAGCTGGCCGATGACGTGATTAAGTTCAGACAAGCCATGTCTACGAGGATGCTTGGTGACGAGTCTCTGTCGGATAAGGACCCCGTGTGTTTGGAGAGGTTGCCGGATAGTTTTGAGGCCGGATGGAAAGAGTGGAGGAGCGGTTGGGACAACAGAGAAGAGTTGGCTTACCAAGCATTTATCAAAACGATGACGTCACCACCACCAGAGTGAAAAAACACAAGATTTTTAATAATGCCTGTAACAAAAACTAATAAAGATCCTTTAACGAGAGAATGTACATGGTTTGTTGTGT